CTTTGTACTGAAGTGGAGTTTCCCATTACTCTGAGCTTTTCTCGCTGCTCTCGCCTACTCTAGGTGGACTTTTCCCACGTGGTCAGGCCTCTCTTAATTCACCCCTAGTTGTCCTCCATGCCCCAGGTTGCCTGCCACTTAAATATTATGAGTTGGTACCAAAAGAAACGACCAGAAGACTGGGTGAATATAGCTTCAGAGGTCTCACTGAGATTGGTCTCTCTAAGGGAGCGCAGTGCCACATAAACATCTCACACTTACTGAGGGCTAAAGGCAAGCTAAGGAATGTGCGTGACTACTTTGATGAATACATACTACTCTTGACCCCAGGCATTTACCTATGTCTGAGTTTACACAGTGCTAGCCATTAACATCCCAAGCAAGGGATGAAACAACAACTGGGCCCGCAAGAGAAGCTGTCATCTGCAGCCTTGAATCCCAGCTTGCTGCAGTGTTCGAGAGAGACAAGTTTTCCTCGGGCTCTGTTTATTGCTCCGTGCTCCCTTGAGACCTTAGGCTTTTGTCTCACATCTGAATTTCTATAGACAATCTCATATCCAGTAGAGCATGTCAATATAGATATTATACATTATAAAAATGAAGTGTAACAGATTGAAACTGGCAGAAGAATCAGTGAACTTGAAGATTTTAGATCAGTGATTATACAATCCAAAGAAGAGAAAAAAATGAAGAAAAGAAAGCATCAAAGAAGTATGGGACAAGGGGCCGGGGAGATGGCTCAGTGGAATAATCCCTTCCCTGGCAAGTACAAGGGCCTGAGTTCAATCCCTGGTTCCGCCCAAAAAAAAAGCCCACCCAAAGAAATATGGGACAACATTCGTGTCACCAACTTACAAATGAAAGTGCTGGGGGATAGGAGCAAGAGAAAGAAAAAAAAGTTTCTGAAAGCTTCACAGATTTATTGAGAGATGTCATGCAACCTAGAAGGTCAGTGAACTTAAGGGTGAACGCAGAGAGATCCAGAAAGATACAACACGGTAGAATGCTGGGAAACCAGGCAAAATGGTGAAAGCATCAAGCAAAATGGCACGCACACTTTAAGGAAACCCTGGTGATACAGGAAGAAAAACTGAACTCAGGTGGGTGACCTCCAAATGATATAGGGAACCTCCAAATGACATAGGGAAAAATGACCGCCCAACCTGACCTGCACCATTTCATGTTCTCTAAAACCGAAGAATGAATTTTAGGAACAGAGATTATGAGCAGAATATATTTATTGAGGGAAAGAAAGCTCCTGTCCAAGAGAGGGACATGAGTGGGTTTTCCCCCTGAAGCTGTCTCTTCCAGGGACTTTTATAGTGTAAAACCATGTGAGGCTAAGGTGGAGAAAGGGGGAACTTGCTTAGGTGGATATGGGGTAGGACAAAACTGTGGTCAACCAATGAGATTACAAGCACCATTGCTCAGGTAAAATTGATTAAGTCCAGGACCAAATGGGGAGGGAGTCACGTAGAAAAGGGGCAGGAATGTAAAATGACTTTATCTGGTAGCCATCAGATAAGGATTCTTTTTGGATTTCTCAGGGTAATGATCAATCCGGGATGCTAATCTTTAGGGAGGTTAGCATGTGTTTGCTCTTTAGGTCTGGCTCACAGCGGGAGGATCCGTCCCTCCCACAGTTGTAAGGCATTGTGTCTTCTGTGCTGTCTCCTTCCAGGGCCTGGCCCTTTCTGACTACCTATAATATTTTTGTCTAACTCAGGCTGCTTGCAACACTGGGAAAACCATTAGTACCTCAAAGAAATTTTTCAAAAATGGAAGAAATAAGGGGACATGCATAGGTCAACAAAAATGGAGAATTTGTTGCTTACTGTCCTGCCTTAGGAGGATTACTCAAGAAATCTTCTGGAGGAATGAATGTGACCCTAGACAATAACTTAGACCCCAACATACACACACAAGGAGCACCTTCTTTGGTGACTATATAGCTATAAAAACCAGTGCCAATGCATGTGTCTTTTTTCCAGAGTTGCAAAGCATGTTGTAAAGCAGTAAGTAAGGTACAGAAATACAGTATTTGCCAATAATTGTACAGAGGCTGTCAACCCAGACAGCACTGTAATGGGCAAAGGAAAGGACTCTGAATGATAACCTGCATCTACAAGAATAAAAGGAATTATAAATAGTAAAACCAATAAATATACTAGTGCTCCCTTTTCTCTAAGTTATTTAAAAGATATAAATTATGTGAAGTAGATGTGTTGCTGAAGTACTGTCACTATGTAAAGTAATAGCAATGCATTAGTGTATTTTGATATAATTTACAGATGTAATATAACTGTAAAATCACAAAAAGGAAAATAATACAGTTAGACAACTAACATTTTCATTTCTGAATGGAAGTTGGTGTGAATTGAAGGTTCATTAGACAAATGGCAAACTGTAGGCAACAACTGACTAGAAAAAGTGAAAAAAAACAAAGACATTAAAGTGCCAGTTTAAAAATATTTGTTTGATGTAAAAGAAAATAGGAATGGTGGGCTGGAGAGATGGCTCAGTGGTCTAAAGCACCTACTTGGAACAAGCTTATCAAAGCATCAGGGACCACGGTTCAATCCCCCAGCACCACATGCCAGCCAGCCCCGCCCCCTGGTGGGCTGAGCTGGCCACACACACACACCACTCTCTCTCTCTCT